CACCAATACACCACAAAACATACCTCACATCCATGATGGCACCTAATATCACCTCATAAATACCTAACATATCAACTATACGCCTCCCAAAGCCTGTAATATCTCTCCCTCACCACCCACTTCAGCATCAATCACTTTACGAAATCCCCCATACATCATCACCTCCACGTCGAGTCATCAGACATTCCAACAGCCAATGTAAAAATTAGACCCACCCTCGGCCAATCCAGTCCAAGCAAGGCCCCAACCATCAATCACCTTGAAAGGTAAACCTCCACGTCGGCCATAAGACAGCACCCACTCCAGCATCAATCACTTCATGAAATCCCCCATACATCATCATCACCACGTCGAGTCATCAGACATTCCAACAGCCAATGTAAACATTAGATCCACCCTCGTCCAATCCAGTCCAAGCAAGGCCCCAGCCATCAATCACCTTGAAAGGTAAACCCCCACGTCGGCCATAAGACAATCCCAACAGCCAATTGAAACAATGACCCCACCCACGACCAATCAGGCCAAGCCCCGCCCCACTACCCCCTCGTGATAACCCCACCCCCTGCTAGACTCCACCCCACATCCCCAACTGACGCCCCGCCTAGGCCACGCCCCACCTTGTCTGTCAAACCCATCCCAATACCTACTCTGGATCCTATGATTGTCAACAAATATTTCTCTCAACACAAAGTGAATGACCCGTTTATAGTATCTACTTCATTTGCTTCCTCGAAACATAATATCTCTGCAACAATACCAGCTCTCCAAGAATTTAACGAAAGCAAACACCTCAAATTCTACGCATACAAATTTCATAACGTATTCGATGGTCTGTTAGGTATAGACATTATGAAATCATTGAATGCCAATTTAGACTTTGCTAATTTGAAACTCTCTACTCCTCGCGCATGCATTCCGATAAAATACTTCGATGCAAATCCATCAGTATTTTTCGAGGAATTCCTACGTGGAAACACAGTGACAAAAATCAGAATTCCTGTTACAACACAATCAGGCGAAATCATTATTCCGCAACAAACCATTCAAAATTGCATAATACCAGAAACCCTGTCAATATCAAGAGGAGGTTGGGCTCTCGTAGAAATACATAATAACTCTAATAATGACACAAATTTCACGATTTTACATCCAATTAGAACTTTCCCGGTCCAAAATAATTTCGAATTTTATCACATGAATATTCAACCATTATCAGAAACAGTAAACAAGATATTGATAATTTAATTAGAACAGATCATATGAACGAGGAAGAAAACAGTCATATTCTTCCATTGTGCAGAAAATACGCAGATATTTTTCACATAAATGAAAATAACTTAACTTTCACGAACCAAGTAAAACATAGAATTCAAACAACCGATGAAATCCCTGTTCATACTAAATCATATAGGTACCCGTTTGTACATAAAACCGAAGTTAATTCACAGATACAAAAAATGCTTCAACAAAACATAATAAGACCAAGCAATTCCCCCTGGTCTTCCCCTATCTGGTGGTTCCGAAAAAAGCCGACGCTTCCGGCAAAAGAAGTGGCGTATCGTGTGTAGACTATAGAAAGATCAACGAAAAAACAATCGACGATAGGTACCCGATACCCAATATAACGGACGTTTTAGATAAACTTGGCAAGTGTAATTATTTTTCGACCTCGGATTTGGCTAGCGGGTTTCACCAAATCGAAATGAACCCCAAAGACATCCCGAAAACGGCATTCAACGTCGAAAATGGACATTACGAATACCTAAGAATGCCGTTTGGCCTAAAAAATGCCCCCGCTACCTTTCAAAGGGTAATGGACAACATTTTGAGAGGCCTCCAAAATGAAATCTGCCTTGTTTATCTTGACGACATCATAATATATTCAGCCTCTCTTCAAGAGCACATTGTTAATCTGAAAAAAGTATTCGATCGTTTACGCGAAACCAATTTCAGAATTCAATTAGATAAGTCTGAATTTTTAAAAAAGGAAACCGCCTATCTAGGTCATGTGATCACCACTGAGGGAATAAAACCGAACCCAGATAAGATAATTGTCATTAAAAAATTTCCAACGCCTAAGACCACGAAAGAAATAAAAAGCTTTTTAGGTCTACTAGGGTACTACCGCAAATTTATACCGGACTTCTCTAAAATCACGAAACCTCTCACAGCACGTTTAAAGAAAGGAGCAAAAATTGACTTAACCCCAGACTATATACAATGTTTCGAAACGTGTAAGGAACTCCTAACGAATAATCCGATTCTTCAATACCCCGATTTCTCAAAATCTTTCAACCTTTGTACTGATGCAAGTCAATATGCCCTTGGATCCGTATTGTCACAAGGACCTGTTGGTCAAGACAAACCAGTGGCTTACGCATCCAGGACACTCAATCAAGCAGAACAAAATTATAGTACGATCGAGAGAGAACTTCTCGCGATTGTGTGGGCTACAAAGTATTTCCGCCCATATCTGTATGGCCGGAAATTCACAATATTTTGTGACCACAAACCCCTTCACTGGCTTTTCTCAATAAAAGATCCAAGCGCAAGACTCACCAGATGGAGACTCGAACTCGATGAGTTTGATTATACCATCCAATACAAAAAGGGTTCGTTGAACTCAAACGCCGACGCCCTGTCGCGTATAAAAATCAACGATACCAACACTAATGACATATTCTCCTATGTAGAAAATTTCAACAAGACAATGTCTTTAACTAACCCATCTACTTCACAAAATAATACAGCAAACGATAATGAGAATAACATCGAAAATAACGCCGAATCAATAGCTGGCAATATTGATGAAAGCCCCAAATTTGAATGACGTCAACCCAAATTTTAATGACATACACGAAGAAGACGATAACGAAACTGCACACACCAGTCACGAAAATCCTATTACTAGAAGTTCCCATTTCCGAAACCGCAATCAATAATTTCAAAAATCAATATTCCTCAAAGTCGTTTTACACTCCCCAGAGCTCCCAAAAATTAAACGATTATTCGAAAACAAAACGAGAACTATTATACAAATTTCAAAACAAAATTTTGAAGAAGACGTGATAAAAACATTCAGAGAATTCACTACGATTGATAAAACTTTTGCGATAAATTTTGACAAAAAAGAATTGATTCCTAAACTCTGTCAAATATTAAAAGACACTTTCAGAAACTCCGCTTTCAACCTAGTTTTATGTAATAATGTACTAGAAGACGTTTTTTCATTGGATTCTCGTGATGAATTTGTAAAATTATGTCACGAGGGCAAAACAAACCACCGAGGAATTATCGAAACAGAAGCCCAAATAAAAAGACACTTTTATTGGCCCAACATCAGAGGTACAGTTACAAAATATATTAATATTGCGAATTGTGTCAAAAATGAAGTATGATAGAAATCCACCTAAACAAAAGTTCTAACTAACACCGACACTAAATAAACCATTCGAAATAGTCCATGGAGATGTTTTCACAATCAAAGGTCAAAAATTCTTCACTATAATAGATAAGTTCTCGAAGTATGCGCAAGCGTATCCTCTCACGGGATTAACTGCAATCCATATCGCAAAAGCATTCATAACGTTTATGACCCATCACGGTACTCCTAAATTACTTGTTTTAGACCAAGGAACCGAACTAAAAAATACCATTATAAAAGAATTTGCCGCACTACACAAAATTGAAATCCATTATACCACAGCTCTGAACCCTAATTCGAACAGCCCAATAGAGAGATTCCATTCGACCATCATTGAACACCTCAGGATAATTGGAGAAACAGAAAAGGACTTGAACATCCTAGATCAGATGCCTTATGCAATCCTTGGCTATAACCATGCTATTCACTCAGCAACCAAACAACGTCCTATAGATATCATCAATGGACATCTCGATTCAAATAGTCCTTTTGACATCAATATTAGTGAAAAATTATACAACAATTATATTGAAGAACATAAAGATCGTACCATAGAAATCTATAAAAAACTCAACCAACAAATGACAAAGCAAAAAGAAAAAGTATTGGAAAAGGTTAATCAAAATAGGCACGACCCTTTGACTTATCAACCAAACACCCTAGTTCATCATAAAACTAGAGCTCGGAATAAAGCAAGTCCCCGATTCAAAGCTCACCATATCACGAAGAATAAAAAATTTATTTTCAACAAAACTGCGTAAAAACAAATCTACTACACCTACAGTGACTAGCGGAGCAACAAAAGTCTACCATAAAAACAATCTAAAAAGGCCATTATCAAATCAAAAAACTATCGCATACAGGATACTTCTCGCGCTGAAAGCGAACAGTGCTCAAGAAATAAGGATAACCAGTCTTGATTCTAATCCCGGGATCCTACCATATAAACTAGGTGATGCCAAATTGAAAGCCACCCATCACACGTTCATCCACTACTTTGACCTGATTCCTATCGAAACCGAATTATTGAAATTAACTAAGCAATATGGAACAATAAAACAAATTATTCAAAGTCGACACCTACTGTACTATAGCGAATTAATAAATATATATAATGCCATTCTTTTCAATCTCAATCTTGCTAGAGAAAAATTTAACTCCATTCATCCGAGTAAGAGGGTTAAGAGGGGACTCATTGACGGTTTAGGTACTATCTTCAAAAGTATTTCGGGTAATTTGGACGCCGATGAAAAGATACGATGAAGCCATTGCCACCCTCGAAACTAATCAAGAAAATATTGCAACAACTTTGACAAACGAATCTCATTAACTAAAAAGGTCATGAATGATTACGAGAAATCTTTGACGTTGATCAAACAAAACGAACAGCAAATGTCAGATAAAATTAACGAACTCGATAAAGAGCTAGACAAATTGTTATTTGACTTCAATAGTTACATCTCTGCGAAGATTGCCTTAGATCAATTGGCAGCAATATTGAACATCCTATTACAAATACTTAATGGTTTGGAAAATTCTATCACTTTTGCAAGATTGAAAATTGTTCATGCTAGCAACTTGAAAATCGAAGATTTGGAATTTATAATACAAACACTCTCACGCCATCATCAACCGAACCAACTCTTATTTGGAAACGATAATACTACTTTACACAAATATTACGAAATTTTGGAAATCGAATCATATCAATCAAACGATAAAATAGTCTTTATTATTCACTTTCCTATAATGTTTCCCGAGACCTATTCATACTTCCATCTATATCCAATTCTTACCAAAACCAATACTATTCTGATCCCAACCAAAACTTTTCTGGCAATGAACGAAAGTAGATAAGATTAGCCGTTTCTGACTCTCCGCCCGA